ACAAATGTTGAATTTTAGCCCTTAAAATGCTTACAATTTTAGCGCAATGTATGCAGGGTTGAAGTCCAACAGAATTTCACAATACTTCAAAGGCAAGCTTTTAGTGCTTGCTTCTAGACTCAACTAAAAGACCATCTGAGAGCAATTTTATAACTCTTTCTTGCATTCTTGACCTGGTCACTGGCTTTCTCATTAACTTAGAACCTGTTGCTGAGTGCCTGTGTTCTACCTGCTTTGCCTGTAAGAGATATGATTTAATATCTGAAATGCATAAATGAGATTCACATTTAATTCTGAATAAGCACACAAAATGGCTTTGCTGTGTAGATACTAGTAATAGTAACTGGCAGGACACTCAGAAGTGTTGGGGAAGGCAGGATGTGCTAGCATTGCTCAGTGCTGGTCCTCTGAGAATCTTCACTGCAGGTCTCAATGTTGGGTAAGTGCTGGCTGCACACCTCTCAAAACCACCTCTGTGGTGCTACTGAGTACTGCTTATGTTAGTTATATCATGGAATCATCTTACTTTAGAAGGAAATTTCTATTTCTGCAGTTAACGGTTGTGTGCATACTTTGTTCTGTGTTTACAGTTTTCTGTTTCTATGGGCTAAACTACAAAAATAGTACCTTGGCTTTGAGACAGTCTATGAGAAAGAATTTGTGGAAATACAGAAAATACAGCAGATTTTACAATGGAACAGCTTTCTTCTTCCCTCTGTTCTGCATCCCTCGGACTTGGACATGTTAACCATAGCAATTTTATTTTTTACTGGGGAATAGACTTTTTCAATGTCCTGTTTATTTTGTTTCCTTGTTTTGGTTTTCTTTTGTTGTTGTTGTTTGTTTAGGTTGGGGTTTTTTTTGTTGTGGGTTGTTTTTTTGGGTTTTTTTTGGTTTTTTTTTTTCTTTCAGAAAGAGGGCAAACATAGTGCTCAAAATAGAAGCTTCAGGAGTGCCTGATTTCTAAAGATTTAGGGTTGGCTTAGGTCAGGGTAGAGGCCTGACGCATCCACTTATTTTTCTGACAGCAGCTAGTAGAAGATGCAAAGGTAACAGTGTGAGAAGCAGCCAAGGATATTTCACCACCCATTTTTCCACTCAGATTATCAAGTCTAACTTTAAAGAGCAACACAGACAATATATTTATCTATATTCACCTACACAAGACTTTTTTGTTGGGTTAAAGAAATAACTCATCCATGCCAACCTTCTGGCATGTAATTCAAAGACAACCCATTTTTACTAGATGGAGGCATTAGCACAAAAATCTGCTATCAGATATGCTAGTGAAGGGTATAAAATATGCATTCTCATTACTGGAACCATTACAAGCCAAGGAAAGGAGGTGGTAACCCTTTAAAATGAGATCAAACCCAACACAAGAAAGAGGCAAACCATTTACATATCTTTCTTTTGCCGTTATTGGTCATACGCTAGCCCTGGCCCCTGAAAGGTACTGAATGGCAGGTGATCCTCAATGTAAACATCCATCCTACAAAAGAGCAGTGCAGGCTGGGCTGTGGCACCAAGTGGCTCTGGGTGCACTGGGGATTGCCCACACGTTGTGGTTTATCCCAGCAGGCAGCTGAACACCACACAGCTGTCTGCTCGCTCCCCCTCAGGGTGAAAAATTTCACCTCTGGGTGAAAATAAAGACAGCTTAATAGGACATAAAAGGAAGGGAAAATACTAATAATGATAAAAGAATTTACAAAACCAGTGTTGCAGACTGCAATTTCTCACCTCCTGCTGACCGATGTCCAGCCAGACCCCACACAGTGGGCACCACTCCCCAGACGATTCCTCACAGTTTTATGGTTCAGCATGATGCCATATGTTATGCAATACCCTTTTGGCTAGTTCAGATCACCTGTCCTGACTGTGTCCTCTCCCAGCTTCTTGTGGCCTCCAGCCTGCTTCCTGGCAGGGCAGATGAGAAGCTGAAAAGTCCTTGATCAGGGTAAGTGCTGCTAAGGAACAACAAAAGCATGGGTGTATTAGCAGCATTGTTCTCATCCTAAATCCAAAACACAGGACTGTACCTGTTACTGTGAGGAAAATTAACTTTATCCCAGCTGAAACCAGGATGCTATGGTCCACAGCAGAGCTCTAATTTTTTTTAAGTATATGATATGAATGCCTGGAAACAGAATGGAGATGCTTTTGAGTAAGAACTATGTCGTTTGAGCTTGTCACCCCAGGTGTAAGGAAGACTCTATGAGTATTTGTCTTAGGAGATACACAACTAAGAGAAGAGCAATGCATGTGCAGGTTGGACTTGGTTTTCCCTTCTAGTCCTCCATTTGGTCCTAGAAATTAGAGTGAAGCAGAACTAGTTTGTGGGAATGAAATAATCGAAACCTCTTATCATTTGTAAGAAAATAAACTAAATGGATATAGCCCTTTGGTTACTCCCATGATCTTGCTTTCTTCTGTGACAGGGGAAATTGTGAGCCCATAACTGTTCTTGGACTGTGCCCTCCAGATGGCAAATACTTTGATTTAGTGCTAAACTGCAGTGTTGGTGGGTCTGAGAATTTATACACTGACAGTAAGGATCTTTAAAAAAACTGAGTTTAAATATATTATTCCAATAATTTTAAATGTTTCAGAGATTATGGTTTTCAAGCTTTCCTCCATAAACCTGGCAGCAGAATGCCTTTATAGGAAAGTGGATCTTTCTAACCAGAAGCTGCTATTTAAGAAAAAAGGTTAAGTATTCTGAGAATCTGGATTAAAATGTCATTGTCCGTGCTTGTGACTTTTATGGATTTTCTCTTTACCTTTAAAGGAACCCACACATACTCCTCATCTATCAGACCAACTCTGCTCTAGTTAAAGCTGCCCCTTCTTTTAGATGTTTTTTTCCATGTTTTGGTCCCCCAGATCAACATTAAGGCACTGCACTGAGGACCAGAGGTTTGGCTTAAGCCTGTAGTCTGTTTCAGACTTCCCTGGCACTGTGGTGAAGTCTTTTAAACACTTAGGGCTAGTCTCAGTGGGGGACAATGATGATGCACTAATGGTGCCCTGAGCAAAGCTTCATTACTGGGCAATGAGGTTTTTGCATACTGTGGTAGCAGAAGGTGCTTTTGTGCCTCAGCTGCTTGTACCTTGGTCTGAGATTCCTATTCCTGACTCCTGGTAAACCAGGTAGTGCTAAGCTCTGCCTTTGTATCTGAAAACATTCCTAGTATGGGGATGTCTTCCTCCTCATGAAAGACAGATGGAAATACAGCTTGTGTACAAAAGAGAGAGACTGGCCTCATGAGAGCATCGGCTGTGAGCAAAAGTAGGAAGGGAGGAAGACACACGAGTGTGCAGCGCTACTGATATTCATTCCAAGTCACTGCGTTTGCATTTTTTTAGTTTTTCTTGCCAAATTATAGATCAAAGACAGGCCTGAATGTGCACGTTAGGAGAAAGCACTCAGATAACTTCTACTTAATTATGTTACAGCCAGTTATTGCATTAAGACATAATTGTCAATTTCATTAGAGTTAATTGTTGCAATTTTAATGTCACTATCAAAGCGAAGCATCCTGGCTGTAAGAAGCAGCACGTTATTTTCTATTGTGTAATGGCCCACATGTTACTACATGCCCAGGATCAAGACTTGGCTGTCTTTCTGAAAGAGAGATCTGATTTAAACACCAGATGATTGGGTTTGGTGCAGCAATTACTGGGTGACACTTCTGTGTCTCTTTGGGCAGGAGATCAGAATGTCTCTCCAGGGCTAGTCTGACTGATGTAAAGCTTAGGTACCCGTGGTGTTTGTTTTCTTTACTGCTTTCTAAGGGAAGCCACTTAGCTGCACTAATGTGGTATTAAGCAGCGAGGCAAACAGCTCCCAAGTCTTTTCATGGGTTAGGAATTGCCTTGGATTTGTGTTCCCAGAGGGTGTGGTGGGGCTGCTTTGCTTTTGTATGGTATCTCGTGTGAGCAGGAGGTAGACTGTTCAAAGTAAGTGTCTTGCACCAAAAGCTGTCACTGGCTCATTGTGTGGAACATCATCATGGCAGTGGTTTGCTTCTTTGGATCAGCATGGGCTTTTCAATGGTTAACAAAAAACCAAACAAACCACGGTAGAAATGAGTGCATGTGTAATTTAGACAGGTCAGTTTAGTTTATTAAATACTCTCATAATTATTTTCAACATTATTGACTCCCCACAGAAGAGAGAATAACCTAGATGCTATCTTTGTTAAACTATACTACATTATTACTTCAGGTTCTTTACTGGGAGTGGAGAAGATGCTAAATATGATTTATGAGGTACTTAAAGATGTACAGCAAAGCTGCTCTTAGGAAAAGTTGTGATAAGACAGTCACTTAAGGCTAGAATTAACTGTTTTATCCCACTAAAGGCCAGTGCTTGCTCTTGTAATAGCTTTTAGTGTCCATTTCCTTCTCATCTAGTCAGAGGGGCAACAGAAAGCAACTGGAAAACCCTTTCCATAACTGACAAGAATCTGCAGATGGTACTTGGAAGATGTAATTTGTTTTGACTCATTTGTTATTGCTTTTTTTCTCCTCCTTGCTGATTGCTTTGGGCACTTGCTGCTCAGGTGTTTGGACTTCAGTGAGGCCCCCTAAGGATGCTGGTGAGCAGAGCTTGTCTGAGAGAGAGGGGAGTATGCTGCGTGTTTGCACCCTGTAATGAAGGATCTCGTAGGCTTTAACGGGGACAAGCCAGTGAGTTCTCCTGCAGTGCAATTTGTTTCTCCAGGAGTTTCAGGGTTTGGCCCCGTCGTTGCCACCGAAACAGGTACCTGCCTATCCCGGTGCCGCCCGCCGTTAGCCATCAATGGCGCGCCGGGTTGCCACGGGAACGCTGCGTCGTTGCCATGGGAACGGGATCCGCGACGCCCCCTTGCGGCGCTGCTCGGGCTCTCAGTGCGGTGCCGGTGCGGGCTGCCGGTGGCGCGGTGGCGGGGCTGCCTTCAGACAGCAGCGGCACCGGGAGTCGCGCTCCGTGCTCAGCGGCTGCCGCGGGCGGAAAGAGCTCGGAGAGCCGAGGCTTGTCTCGTAAGACGCGCCTAGTTCAAACTGTTTCCAGGGTAATTCAATCGAAGGTCAGCCAGCTGCCTCTGCTGGGAGCCAGCTCCGCTTGCTCTGCCAGTCGCACTGGTGCCCAAGGAGATGCAGCTTCCTTCAGCCTTGGGTAGCAGGTCTGTACTGTAGAAGCCACACGCTGGCCAACGGCGGAGGCTTAGGGAAGGGTGTGAGAGCAAGGCAGCATCCCTTAACCTGAGCAGGGAAGGCTTGTGTTCTGCAGTCCTGAAGTGTTGGGTTAACTGTGTTGTCAGTGACTGATTGTTCTGCTTTATTACTTTTTATTTACTATTTATGTATTTATTCATTAGCAGTGGATAACTGGATGTACAGCCTTGTTATGCTAGGCAGTCTTTCCCTGAAATAACTGATCTAAAGTGCTAAATGTAGGGAAACAAATAGGATATTGCAACAAAAAGCAGCTGCACCGCGGTGGGACACCACTGGCTAGCTAGCAAGCCTTGCAGATCCTTCCTGCAGGCCTGGATGCTTCCTGAATTGCTTTTTTCAAGTGAAACCAAGCACCAGACCAAGGAGGGTTTTATGTCATTCCTTTGTCAAAAGGCTAAAACAGCAGAGTTTTGCAGAGGTGGGGAGTTGGCCTGTCAGGGGGAGGAGCCAGCTGAGCTCCTTGTAAGGAGAGCCACAGAGATGATCAGAGGGATGGAGCATGTCTCCTAGGAGGAAAGGCTGAGAGAGCTGAGGTTGTTCAGCCTGGAGAAGACTCCAGGGAAACCTTGCTGCAGCCTTTAAGTTCCTAAAAGTAGCCTGTAAGAAAGAAGGGGAGAGACTTTCTAGCATAGCCTCTTGCGACAGGATGAGGGGTGATGGTTTTAAACTAAAAGAGGGGAGATACAGGCTAGATGTGAGGAAGAAATTTTTTACAGTGAAGGCAGTAAAACACTGGAACAGGTTGCTCAGAGAGGTGGTGGATGCCTCATCCCTGGAGACATTCAGCGCCAGGCTGGATGGTTCTGGGAAACCTGGTCTGGTCTAAGGTGTCCCTGCTCACTGCAGGGGATTGGACTAGAAGACACTTGAAGGTCCCTACCAACCCAAACAAATCTACGATTCTATGTCTGTGTGCAGCCCCAAGCTTAAGCAAAGCAGAGCAGAGAGAGGTGGTGACTTGAACCCCAGCAAATTATCTCAGAAGGTCAGTGCTAGTTACCTAGCAGTCGCCTAGGTTACCTAGAAGTCACCTTCTGTTGAGAAGCAGGGAAATTTGTAAATGCCTTCCAGACCAGGAAGCAGCAGTGGAGTAAAAAAATCACGTCTGTAACTGGCAGCAATTGTCATCATCCCAATCAGCTCTGACCTAACTGGCCATACATTTGGCAGCACCTATTTACATTCTGCAATTTCCTTCAGTCAGGGTGTCACTCATTGTCGAGACTGCTCTGCCAGCAGCTACGCGACGCCTGGGGATGCCAGCGCAAGAGAGAAAATGACATTTTCAGAAAGATGTCATTTCTTTTTCAACACTGCAAACATCCACCCATCTGTCACAAATGCTTGTCGGCACTCCAGCATCTCTGTATCAGTCACACAAGGAGTACACCTCAGCACAAAGAAATTTATCAAGTTAATGGTATCAATCATACGCCAGTTTGCATTATTTATGAGTGCCAGAGACATCTTTTCACCCCTTACTATCAGGTTTGGGTTTTTATTTTAAACTTATCTTAGATAAAAGAGCGGGAGAAAACACAAGTGGGGAGATAGGGCTGAAGTGACTCTGGAAGACCAAGCTAGCTTGCTGTCAGATCACAGAATCAGAGGTGGAATGCTTAGAGCCACACATAGCTAATTGCTCCCCAGATCATTCCACAGACTGTTTTTGTCTGAAACTCAGGCTGGTACCTTTTGTCGGTATTGGAAGATGCTGATCCCATACAGAAGACGACACCATGTGGTTTGCCCAATAACACTAATAGCAAACCAACCTTCATACTGCTGATTCTGGAAATCATGCTGACCCTAGTAAAGCACTAGTTGCAGTGCTGCTTAACATCTTGGCTTCTGACCTATGTTTTCCAGTGTCACCTTGTGCCATTTAGAACTGGTGCTTTGAAAAACATTCAGTTAACCGTTGGTAAAACATGCTCTGTGACTATAATGAAGTGTTCATTGTAATGGTAATTAATAACATGCTGCAGAGTACTTGCTGTGTGAAAATACAGTGTCAGGTGTGCCCATGTTACCACGAATACTTTCAGTTCAGATTGACTTGAAATTCTGGTTCATTAAGCTGTCAGCAACTCACAGCTATAAGGGGAAAACATTGATTAGTAGCCCCAGAAACTACAGGTGTGTTTACAAGAAAGGCTAATTTGACTTCATGAACAGGAGCTGGCTGTAGATTTTAGGTTTGTTTTTAAATGTTTGATTACTCATTACTGCCATATCGATCTTTTATAAAACTCAAAGAAGGCCGAGTCACACTATAGCATCAAGCCATGTTAGAAAATGAATGTTAGAGCATCCTTGAATACATGGGAGTCTCAAACAGAACACATTCCAGAGAAAAGCCAATCTAATTTGTAGAATATTGCACATTTTGTGTATAAACTGGTACTTGCAAAGTTACCTGGAGCAATTCCATTGTTATGCTATTGAAGAATAACTAAAGATATAAAGGATACATGGTGCACATATTCTTACTGTAAAGACAATCAGGCAATTTGCTGTTTTGTCTGTGAATTATTTAATTTGTTCAGATGTTTCTAGGAATGTCTTCCACTCAGCCTCTTGTTGCCACCTTCAGAAATATCTCATTCTTTCAGAAGAGGATTTTATTTTATTTATTGAGCATTTATATATGTGTCTTGGGTATCTGTGTGTCACTGCTGAGTTAGAAATCAGCTGTAACAATACTAGAGAAAATCAACTCTCCTAGTGTCTCACTCAGTCACCTTGAATGCCAACTTCTAGAAGTGTGATAGCATTTGTTATTCTGAGAGCGCTGCTACTTTGCTGGTGAGATAAGATGAAAACTGGGATTAGTAAAGTACACACATGGCTTATCAGGCAGTTCAGTGGATGCATTTCAGATCTGGAGGACTATGAATGATGGGACAGCATCAGGAACTTTATTGATTAAGCCTTTGCAAACTTGAAATTTTTTGAAGCATCTGTATTTATCTGTTAAAAGGCAGCTGGACTTTATCACTCGCTGGGAAGAGACAATATCAAAACACTACCCCTCAATGGAGAAGCGATTGGCACATGAAACACTTTTTCAGTCGCTGGTGGCGAAAATGCTTCAAATGTAATAATTCTAAGTGGAGCTACTTATTTATTTGACTACAGAAGAGGGAGGGTCCTGCTGTAGGCTGCTGGCCAGAAGGTGTGCTTGTGGGAAGGACTGCAAAACATGAAAAGTATATTCAGCAAATGCTCAGCAAATGTGTTCCATGTACCGGTGACTATCTGTCAAGGACAATATGTGCTTACTAAGCAGGCTTATAAAGTGGCTCCAAAGGCCCTAGGAAATTATTTCTCACCCATCATCTTTTTGTCTCCTCCTCACATGGAGAGACACAGTTCCCGCTACTACGGCCCTGATACAGAAGGCTCCCTTCCACAGAGCAAGGAAGAGGCAATGCTACCCTGAGGGTATGTCCATGTGATGCACTATTGTGACTCTCATGGAGTGCCAAAAGTACTAACTTACGTATGAGCATAAAAGATAGCAGTATTCATGATTTTGTTGCCTGGACTCATTTGTCCTGATGAGCAACAGAGTGTTTAAGTCTGGAGGTCCCCATAGTACAGTACTGATAATCTTTTGGCAGCTTGTGTGCCTAAGTACCCTGAAATCATACTTGCCTGTGATTTGTGACTGAGGAAGTTTTGCAGATGAATCAAGATAAAACAGAGATGGGTCTAAGCTTGTTTTGTTCCCAGTTTGTTGACATAAAAACTTTGAAATGGGGAAGCCTTCTTCCGTAATCCTTATCACAACTGCCAAGGAATTCTACAATTCTCATTCCTTTCTGCTGGGCAGCACCATGTCAGCTATCACCACTGCCATCTCTCTCATATGACTCTTGGGAGACAAAAGGCTTACTTCTGTTTTTTCAGCCTGACATTTCAGTGACATGTGTATGACTATTTCTGATTGCTTCTAATGGGAAAGGTTCTCCAGCTATTGCAAAGCTATAAACTTTGCTTCTCCTTCAGGACTCTGCCTTTCTTCTGGTTACCCATAAGGCCTCTACATTGGAAAAGCAATAAAAAAGAGATTCAGTCCTGTTCCTCTGAGAAGAATAGGGCATTTTCCCCATGCCCCACAGATAGGAAGGAGATGCGTAAAAAGAAGACAGAGATATTTCTTGCTCCTGTAGAAAAAAATTCTGCTAGCTGAAAAAAATAATTTTGTTTATCTCTGAAAACCTCTTTGAGCCAGACCATCAGGGGACACAGAGACCATCCAGAAAATGCAGACTGGATTGCCTAGAGGTATATTATTGGATGATGATCCAGCTAGACTGAAGGGATGGGCAGGCTGGACTGGGGCTAACCAATATGTGGGATCAGCAGGAGTGCTCTGTGGTTCATGCTGTGCCACTTCCAAATGTGTGGACAGCTCGCAGGGTGATGATGGTTGAACTATTTCCACCCATAAGCCCAGTCTCTTCTTAGTCATAACTGCAGATTTAAAACTCATGCTGAATTATCAGACTGTGCTGTAGCCAGTCTGAACAATTGTCAGCTGTTTGTAATTCAAAGCCTGTCTGTGCTTTAAGCTGTCTTCTTGGAGGGGAAAAAGAACCTCTTCACCCCAACCCCCCTGATCTCCAGTATTGTAATCAGCATAGCTGAGTTATGGACAGAATGTGAATATAGCATACTCAAAATTTGCTTCTTCCTTTCTAGTAATAGATCTGTTAGCACACTGTCAATCAAATACTATTTGTTTCAAAGACAAGTGTCATGACACCTTTTCAGCAATGGAAACTCCATTATCTATCACCTGAGTATGAGATTTAAACAATGCAATGTCCTTCAGACATCCTGAATCCTTTTATATGTCTAGTCTGGTTTTAGCTGCTTTGAAAATGTTTTACTTTTGTCTAGATCATCAAAAATGTCGAGTTACCTCTGCTAGCGAACCATACTTAGTTTTGACTTGGAGAATAGGATGCGGCACTCTTACTGCCTAAGAATATCTTTAAAGATAGAGCAAATGCTGTATGTCAGGTTATTGAGTGCACCTTTTAATGAACTGTCTGAGTGAGAAACAGAAGATTGATTGTGGGGGTTGAGGTTAGGTAAGTAAGTACCTGTTGGGTGGAAAGCTGATCCTTTGAGGGGTGGGGTGTTAGTTGTCTAGAACTGTTAGAGGATGGATGGAGTGGATATATGTGGAAAATACTGCTTGTTATGAAAAAAAAACAGCAAAGGAGGAGAAGGCTGGTGCAGTGAAAAGACATGGTGAAAGAATTTAATGCTGGCTGATTTCCCATGCCCTCATCTCTAAGCCCACATTCCAGGGAGGAGCAGATGTGTAGCAGGGCAGTGGGGAGGGTAACTGGACCATCTGGTCTTTCACGGCCATTAATCCACTACATTTTTGGCACTAGACTAGTGGTAGTGCCTTTCCTACCCTCTATTAGGCTAGATGAAGATGGGCTATCATGGCTACCACAGTGGCAAGGTCCAGGAATTTGATTTTGAGCATTTTTATAGCATTCTCAGAAAGGAGATGATGCTGTGCTGTGTGCTGAGAGAGGGTATGTGTTAGCAGGCAGGATCTTTGGAACTGGGGGTGCAAAGGGCCACCCTGAAATGTTTCACTAGCAAATTTTTAGACCTCAAGCCAGGGCCAAAGGACAGTCTACAGTAGAATGGTCTGGGTTATACAATAGAGGCTCTTGGCTTATTGGGAAGCCAAGTGAGAAGGAAATATCTCATCATCCTGCACAGTAGCCAAATGGACCAAGCCATATCGATATTCTGAAACCATGATATAGGAGGAAATGGCCCTTTATTTATTACCTGGACACAATTAAAGCATAGCTATAGATAAACAGTTGTTACAAATAAATGTGAATCCTGATGGCTGGTCCCATTTAATAAAATAATCTTGCGCTTCTAGGATTTAAATGCTTCTGATGGCTGGTCATACAGACTTCCCCTGATTTCCTCTTCCAGTTGGTCTGGAAGTAAAAGGCAAATCAGCTTTCCAAAAAGCTGTGTGTTTTAGTAACCTCACATTTATCCAAAAGCACTTAAAGAATGTTTTTGAATAGAAATAATTTTTAATTGGATTTTGGTGGAAGGATGTTCTTTTGAGAACATCAATTTTCTCCCGCTTACGCAACTTGTTGGCTACTCCAAATGCGTACAGCTTGATTAAACAATGACCTCTCTTAGATGTCTACTGAAGGAACAATTTATAAGTCCTAATCTGCTTTTCTAATTTAACAATCAACAGTCTATGGGTAAGGGTTAAAAGATATTAATCTGAAGCTTCAAAATGGGATGGAGCCAGTGAAGGCATGTGAGCCAGGAAGGCTGTCATAGACAGAAGGACCCCTATCAGTAAGAGAGGAGTGTGGGAAAAGGGATTCCACCAGGCTAGGAAAAGGAAAGGTGTATCATGGGAATTAAGAGCTTTACATTTTGATTCAGAAAGCAACATGTCAGAAGAAAGGCAGCAGCTGTCTGCAGTAATCTGGGACTGGAAGAACTGTGCCAGCGAGATAAGCAAGTCGTGATGATTAAGTTGAGCGTGGTTATTAAGAAGTATCAGTAAAGAAGATGATTTGGCTAATGTCAGTTCAAATGTGGTGATTAAAATTAATGGGAAGAATAATATGACCAGGAAAGAGAAAGGAGGAGAATGAGATTAAACTTAAAGAGACCTATTTCTATTCAAGATGAGATCATGTTGCTGAACCTGTTTCCCATTT